AATAGACATTTAAGAAAATTCAAAGTTTAAAATGTTCCAAAACAAATGTCATTATAGAAATTGGAATCATTAGATTTTTCTGTTCCTGAGGAAGGCCATTAAAACTGGCCGAAAACATTAGAAAAATGAATTAAAAGGCTGCATTTTTAAAGGTTTTTGTGTCGAGGTGTGAGTAAACATTGTTAGTTTTTGTAGTAAACTAACAATGTTTAATTTTAATTTATTACAACATTGTTAGTAAAAATATAGTGGTCTTATAATTTAACATACTGTAAATACTTTAAAGGAAGAAAGTAATAAATTAAGTTCAGCTTTTAGTTTTAAAACTATTATAAACAAAAACATTATTTTTTTTTTTTTGTTTTTTTGAAAATAATGTAGGAGACATTTTCTATTTCTTTGTGTTCTTCATTGAATGTTCAGCATTAGGATCATTATCCATTATTTTTTGTCTAAGATATTTACAGACATGAAATATTTCATCAATTTTTTTAATATGAATTCCTGAATTGTTGTCTTAATTTTATCATTTCTAATGCTATTTGTGTGCTCATTCTACATCTAGATTAATAAGTTCTTCACCAGTACAATCATTATGAAGGGACTACCACAATTGAACATCTTTCTTACCTATTCTAGTTAATCTTAGATCCTATGTGAGTCACACAGTGTCTATGGAACCATTTAATTTCAGAATTAAATCCTTGAAGTCATTTGCATGTTGAGGAATAAATTTTTGCCGAACAGTTCTCATGTTGTTGTAACTTCTCTCCATGCTTTATTGTTGTTTTCAAGAGCAATGTTTTTTTTTTTAGGATAAAATTTTCCCAAAATATACTGGGTGCTTTCCCAGTATGTTTCAAAAGTAGTTGAAGAAAAATTACAGGCAGAAATCACAAAAAAATCATTGAATAACTATTCGGGATGTCATGATAAATCTTTACATATTGCTAATAAGCATTGTTGAAATCCTTTGTAGTCTTGAAATGGTCACAAAAAATGATTTTTTAGTTCTACATGTGTTAAGTGGAAGAACAAAATGGATTGAATGTTAAAATATATTGCATTCTGAAATCATTAAAATAACAGTAACTCAACATTTCATATTTTGAGTAAAAAGGATTAAAGGAAACTTTTTAGTTGACATAAAAAGTCTGCATCGCTCCAAACCCTGAAGTTATTAATCAGGATTTTAATTATAGTAATACCTCAACTTACACAAACCTGGAGTTATGCGATTTTCAAATCTCGTTGATTCGTCTTTTGTTTGAGCGCCACTCAACTCTTGATTACTCACTCCCCCCACACTATTGTTCAGCTTATGTGTTCGGACATGTCGTGCGGAATCGACACATAGCTACAATTTATTTTGTGTTATTTATTTCTGTGTTTGTTATATTTACAGAGTCTTGAGAGACTCTATGTGGTGATTTCTTGTAATCATGAATGAATCAAAAGACGGGATAAGATTAACGAGAACATTTATTAGCTTACATACATCCCACTTGGATTTTACACAAATTGCGAAATTATATCCTGACTTACATGGTTATCTCTCGGTCCCACCTATCACATAAGTTCGGGGTATTACTGTATTGAATTAATAACCACAATAACTTAGAACTGCATTAATTGAAACCAGAATAACCTGGATATGGTTATTATATATTCCAGGATTATTTTGTATAAAAATTTGTGCTTATTAATAATTTTTTTCAAAATAATTGTCTAAAACTTTTTTAAAACAGTTTTTTTTCATTGAAATAAAAAAAAAATCCAACAAAATAAATTTCTTTCTTTCATACAGCAGTTCAATTAATATAAAAATTCTTTAATCACTTGTCACTTTTAGCAATCAGAACCTTAAAACGGTCATTAAAAGTAATTAAAAGTTGTTTTTACATCAAATTAACTACTGGTATGAAGTGTTTAATATGGTATTCAGTATGTTTGTATTCTCTGATTTCTGTGCAGTTATCAAATTAGATGGTTTTTTTTTTATCTGCTATCTCAAGGTTTGTTTTTATTTATCAATATAATTTTGATTATTTTATAAATTTTAATTTATGACCTAAAGAAATTATCATTTCTTAATTGCATAAGTTTTGTTAACAATCATAATTTTCTAAATTATTTTTAATGTATTTTTATGAAACTACAAATTTAGTTTTAAGGGAAGTTTTTATTTTTTGTCACAAAAGGATGTTTTCTTCTGAATCTATTTTGCTGTACTTATTCATGTCCATCAGATATTAAAATAAAAAGCATTCAGGCTCTATATTTAAAAATTTGATTTTATGATAGATTATTCTTGTCACTTGATTAAAGTAAAGAGTGTTAAATTACCTAACACCTCTACTTTAAGATAAGTTGAGGAAAACAATGGGTCCTCAACTTACGTATGTGTGAAATATTTGATTTTAAAATAATAAAATAGAAAGTCAGTTTACTTTGTTCAAAATACACACAGCATAGCAGTTACACTTTTTAATCATTAATGATAATAGTTACATACATCATGATGTTAGGGCAATACTGAATTTGAGAAATTTATTGGAATTTAACTATTCTCTTGATTTTACAGACCTCAGAGAAGACCCAATTTCATACAGCCACTAACAAGTTGACTTTCCTTAAGTAAACTGTTACTTGAAATTCACAATAATATTTCTATTTACAAACTAAAACTTTTAAACATGAAACTGTTGAATTAAAACCAAAATAATTCCATTTATCTCTCTATTTGATTTGAAACTTTGTTTCCAACTATGTATACAGAATACAATTATGGCATTTATCATATTTTTGTGCAAATAAAATCGTGCTACTATATGTGAAAATTGCTAGTTTTGTATTTTTGAAACACATCCTGCTATTATTTAGGTTGTTTATACATTTTTTTTTTAAACATAACAATTTAGAAGCTTTTTTAAGAGGTATTTTCTATTCTAATTAGAGGTTTTTGGAGGTAAGACTTTCTGCTTGTCTTAAACATTGCTCTGTATTTTCGTTGCTTCCAAAGTTATTAATTAATGTACATATAAACATTGCATCATTACTGTACATTTTGATCTTATTCTGAGCCAATTCTTTTCTTCTATAATACTTCTATAATTATAAAATTTATTTATTATTATTAAATTTATCATGAGATGGTGCTTAACCATCTGTCTCTAGCCAAATTACTTTGAATATGATTATTAATTAACCTTAATATAAATCTGTCAAAATACATAATTATTTATAAATGTTAAAATTTAATTTTAGAATTGTTAACAAAAAGTTAGCATAATTAAATTGTAAGGATTGGTTTAAAATAAAATAAAAACTTGATTCAAGGTAGGAAGTGAAGTATGAAGAATGGAATTGCAGGAATATTTTGTGAACCAGAACACACTATTTTTTTATTCACATCCAAATTTTACACAAATTTAAATATACAGTACTCTATTGCTTTTGTTTGAGCAAAATCACTATTATGTAAATTCATGAGTAATACTTGTCATTGTTTTTAGCACTTATGTTCAAACACAAAAGAGGAAGAAACAACTTCGTATGTACACATTAGAAAGAATATTTTGACTCCTTCAGTAGTATACTTTTTCTTTCTAATATTTTTCATAAAATGTGAAATTTACCACATTGTTCTTTATAATTCTTATGAAGAGGTACCGTATATCGAATTGTTTAAACATTTCTATTTTTTATTCCATCATTAAATATTTTTTACTTAAAAGAATTGTATGAAATTTTATTTTTATACCAATCCTTTTAAAAAAAAAATTTGGAAAATTTATCAGTTTGCAATCTATATTGAGTTGAGAAAAGTGATTTATAAAACTTCTTAAATTGAATTTCTGATAAATGATGTCAAGCTATTTATCAATGTATAACTTTAACTAATAATTTTTATTTTTAATGAAAAATTTCCAAAAACACTCGTCAACTTTCCACTTATTCCTCGAAGTTAGCAGTGAAATCTCATTTTAGAAATCTGCTTTCACTTTTTGGAATAATGCAATATAAAGGAAAAGATAAGATGGATGCATGATGAAGTTTCAACTTACTGTTGTAGTGATTTTGGATTCAATTAAGATTCAGAATCTTCTACTTGTAGTTTCAGTAATACAAGTAAAGATGTCATTTTTCATCCTTATCTATGCTGATTGATCCTATTGTCAGTCACATCCACTTTGCAGCAGTTACAGCCATATATAACCTTAAGTAATTGGTGCTGTATATTAAATAATCAGAAAATATTGCAATCAGTTCAATGTAATGTAATTTCAGCATACAAATTATTCGTTATTTATTGTACAGCAAAGTTAAGTTACTGTGCAATAAATAGCAATGTCTTCTGTGGTTTTGAAATTGGAAATGTTCACTATCCGTGTTAAGCTCTTCTCAATGAACACTGCATTCCAAGCTCACATTTTCACACGTGCAGTCACACCCTTACTGTGGCGTGAAGCATTGGAAATGCAGCATTTCTTGAGTGCTGCACAACATTCTCTGTGATATTTGTTCAAGTAATTGTGACGTTATTTTAATAGTATTAAACGAGATTTAGCTAAGTTACCTTTACAATTTATTTACAATTACGAATATTGGTGTAATAAAACCACTAAAATAACGTAATGGAATTACTGACGAGAGATGAGGCACGTGGCACTAGAGATCGCTAATTATGACGTATTATATCGAATCGAAGGCGCATCCTATTTTCATAGATACTAAAACCTGAAAAAATGAGTTTTACATTCGAGTAAGTACGGTGTATATATAATATATGTAGAATAAAGGTTGACATTTTCCTTAAAAGTTAAGCTTACTTTACAACAGGTCTTCCCTGTGCACGTTGACTATCTCATCTAAATTTAGCGCATATTAGTTTATTTATCGGGTCATATTACTGGTAGTCTAGTTTTAATGTAATTTTATATTTATTATTCCACGCAGTGTGATAAAATTTTTAAAATATGGCAGTTTTTTTAAAATAGATTTTATATCTTGCAATAAGGATCGAGAAATGGCTAGAGGACAGCAGAAAATCCAGTCTCAACAGAAGGCTGCGAAGAAAGCCCAAGAACACAAGAGATCGCAAGGACACGATCAGAAAGCAGCAGCGCAGAAAGCTCTACTCCATACTTGTACCGTTTGTAAAGTAAGTAGTCGAGCTTGACTTGTCTGTTTTTCTTTGTTAAAAATCAGTTAAATTTGATTCTTTATCTTAAATACAGGCCCAGATGCCCGATCCCAAAACCTACAAACAGCACTTCGAAAACAAACATCCCAAGAATGCCCTCCCCGAAGAGTTGAAAGACGTTTGATCGAACGACAACGAAAAGAACAGATTAGTGTGATTTATGAAATATGTACTTTATACACAGTAAGTAACACTATCTTTCGGGGGAAAACAAACTATTTCGAAAGTGGACATTCTAAATAGTGGATGTTTTCTCATCCCTTTTATCTCTTACTGATGTGGTTTGAAGGGGGAATGAAATTAAGGAAAGTGTTTTTTTCAATAAAAGTTTTTTGATCATCATTTTTTTTTTACTGGTGTTTTCTCGCATCCCCTTTAACGGTACGCGAATACATCAGCTGTAATTTTGTATCCTTTTATCTGTAGTAAACGTTATTTCAGTTAATAACCGAAAATCGGGTCGCCGTTCTATCTCCGAAGTAGGATGAGTCGAGTTCGGTGACCTAAATAACCATTCACAATGTTCTCGTTCCGTCTGGTGAATAGTCTCTTTATTTTACGAGTTGCTTTGCTTAAAACTCATCTTGCCCCAAGTTATTGTAGAATTTTTTTCTTTCCTAGATCACGATCCAGTCCAAACTGGAGTAAATTTATGGGTCACTGATTCACATCGCGATTATAACTTTAATTTCGAAGGTTATAAAGGGATTACACGACCGGGTGTAGGACCTTATAAGAATCGTAAGGATCAAGAAAATTTATGTATCGTATTTTGTACTATGCATCGAATAACTAGTTGGTTAGGTGAGTCAGACTCTGCCATAACTAACTAGAATTTAGTCACGGATGTTTTTTAAATTTTTTATGTAGGAAATAAAGTTTTACTTGAATCATTCTTAAATTTAGAATGCCTTAATTGTGTGTTTAAATTGTGTTATAAAAATAAAAATAGAGCAACGAGCATAGTTTCCTGTTCTCTCTCTCTACTTACTTGTGTACTGGCGGATCAGTAATAAAGGAATAATATTCAAGTCATCAGGAAAATAACAAATAATGGAACTGAAAAACGTATTTATTTCAGTTGTTTCTATAATTTTGATTTATTTAAAAAACTGGAATTCGGTTTTTTACTGTTTCTAATCTGCAGGTAATAAGTATGTTACATATTGGTTTGATGTAAATATTTTATGATTTTTATGAAATGTAAACAAATCTTATTTAAAATATACTATTTAGAGCGTATTTGATTAAATAGTAAACGTACAAATTTAGACTCTGGTATAATTACGGTAAGTATGTAAAAGCAGTAAAAGATCTGTTAAACCCGTCGTGGGTTCAGCGACACCAATAATGGAGTGGCAGGATGGTGAGAGACGAGGGCGGGTCGAAAATCCCCAAAAATTCTCGGAGTTTCGATTCGCCCTCTTACTTCTGACTTTGAATGTAATAAAACTTGCATATTTAATCAAAATTGTCTCCATCAACATTAATACACTTTTCCCAATGCAATAGAATTGCATTAACGCCAATCTGATACAAATCACGAGAATGAGAAGCCAAAAAAGGTTTTGCGACCTGAACCCATAAAGAAAAATTATATGAGGGGTGTGCTTATATGTCTATTTCGTTTTATATATCAGGATAGGGTAAAGAATAAAAAAGGCATTGATGCTATTCAATATTAGTGGTTAAAGTTCGATGGATCGGACTTATTGTAAATACAGTAGAGCGTCGTTTATCCGAATCAATTGGGGACTCGGGTTGTTCGGATAACTTATTTTTCGGATAACCAATTATGTACGAAAAAATATACTAATTTATCCCGTGTTGAAATTTTTCTCCGTTGCGTGTCGCTTCGCGTTGAATTTTCGTCGATGTTAAGCCTAACGAAGACTATTGTATCGTTAAAAATTATTTTTTTATTTTGTACAAACAAAATAAATTTATTGAAAAATATAAAAACAATAAAAAATTATACTTNTTACCTAACACCTCTACTTTAAGATAAGTTGAGGAAAACAATGGGTCCTCAACTTACGTATGTGTGAAATATTTGATTTTAAAATAATAAAATAGAAAGTCAGTTTACTTTGTTCAAAATACACACAGCATAGCAGTTACACTTTTTAATCATTAATGATAATAGTTACATACATCATGATGTTAGGGCAATACTGAATTTGAGAAATTTATTGGAATTTAACTATTCTCTTGATTTTACAGACCTCAGAGAAGACCCAATTTCATACAGCCACTAACAAGTTGACTTTCCTTAAGTAAACTGTTACTTGAAATTCACAATAATATTTCTATTTACAAACTAAAACTTTTAAAGATGAAACTGTTGAATTAAAACCAAAATAATTCCATTTATCTCTCTATTTGATTTGAAACTTTGTTTCCAACTATGTATACAGAATACAATTATGGCATTTATCATATTTTTGTGCAAATAAAATCGTGCTACTATATGTGAAAATTGCTAGTTTTGTATTTTTGAAACACATCCTGCTATTATTTAGGTTGTTTATACATTTTTTTTTTAAACATAACAATTTAGAAGCTTTTTTAAGAGGTATTTTCTATTCTAATTAGAGGTTTTTGGAGGTAAGACTTTCTGCTTGTCTTAAACATTGCTCTGTATTTTCGTTGCTTCCAAAGTTATTAATTAATGTACATATAAACATTGCATCATTACTGTACATTTTGATCTTATTCTGAGCCAATTCTTTTCTTCTATAATACTTCTATAATTATAAAATTTATTTATTATTATTAAATTTATCATGAGATGGTGCTTAACCATCTGTCTCTAGCCAAATTACTTTGAATATGATTATTAATTAACCTTAATATAAATCTGTCAAAATACATAATTATTTATAAATGTTAAAATTTAATTTTAGAATTGTTAACAAAAAGTTAGCATAATTAAATTGTAAGGATTGGTTTAAAATAAAATAAAAACTTGATTCAAGGTAGGAAGTGAAGTATGAAGAATGGAATTGCAGGAATATTTTGTGAACCAGAACACACTATTTTTTTATTCACATCCAAATTTTACACAAATTTAAATATACAGTACTCTATTGCTTTTGTTTGAGCAAAATCACTATTATGTAAATTCATGAGTAATACTTGTCATTGTTTTTAGCACTTATGTTCAAACACAAAAGAGGAAGAAACAACTTCGTATGTACACATTAGAAAGAATATTTTGACTCCTTCAGTAGTATACTTTTTCTTTCTAATATTTTTCATAAAATGTGAAATTTACCACATTGTTCTTTATAATTCTTATGAAGAGGTACCGTATATCGAATTGTTTAAACATTTCTATTTTTTATTCCATCATTAAATATTTTTTACTTAAAAGAATTGTATGAAATTTTATTTTTATACCAATCCTTTTAAAAAAAAAATTTGGAAAATTTATCAGTTTGCAATCTATATTGAGTTGAGAAAAGTGATTTATAAAACTTCTTAAATTGAATTTCTGATAAATGATGTCAAGCTATTTATCAATGTATAACTTTAACTAATAATTTTTATTTTTAATGAAAAATTTCCAAAAACACTCGTCAACTTTCCACTTATTCCTCGAAGTTAGCAGTGAAATCTCATTTTAGAAATCTGCTTTCACTTTTTGGAATAATGCAATATAAAGGAAAAGATAAGATGGATGCATGATGAAGTTTCAACTTACTGTTGTAGTGATTTTGGATTCAATTAAGATTCAGAATCTTCTACTTGTAGTTTCAGTAATACAAGTAAAGATGTCATTTTTCATCCTTATCTATGCTGATTGATCCTATTGTCAGTCACATCCACTTTGCAGCAGTTACAGCCATATATAACCTTAAGTAATTGGTGCTGTATATTAAATAATCAGAAAATATTGCAATCAGTTCAATGTAATGTAATTTCAGCATACAAATTATTCGTTATTTATTGTACAGCAAAGTTAAGTTACTGTGCAATAAATAGCAATGTCTTCTGTGGTTTTGAAATTGGAAATGTTCACTATCCGTGTTAAGCTCTTCTCAATGAACACTGCATTCCAAGCTCACATTTTCACACGTGCAGTCACACCCTTACTGTGGCGTGAAGCATTGGAAATGCAGCATTTCTTGAGTGCTGCACAACATTCTCTGTGATATTTGTTCAAGTAATTGTGACGTTATTTTAATAGTATTAAACGAGATTTAGCTAAGTTACCTTTACAATTTATTTACAATTACGAATATTGGTGTAATAAAACCACTAAAATAACGTAATGGAATTACTGACGAGAGATGAGGCACGTGGCACTAGAGATCGCTAATTATGACGTATTATATCGAATCGAAGGCGCATCCTATTTTCATAGATACTAAAACCTGAAAAAATGAGTTTTACATTCGAGTAAGTACGGTGTATATATAATATATGTAGAATAAAGGTTGACATTTTCCTTAAAAGTTAAGCTTACTTTACAACAGGTCTTCCCTGTGCACGTTGACTATCTCATCTAAATTTAGCGCATATTAGTTTATTTATCGGGTCATCTTACTGGTAGTCTAGTTTTAATGTAATTTTATATTTATTATTCCACGCAGTGTGATAAAATTTTTAAAATATGGCAGTTTTTTTAAAATAGATTTTATATCTTGCAATAAGGATCGAGAAATGGCTAGAGGACAGCAGAAAATCCAGTCTCAACAGAAGGCTGCGAAGAAAGCCCAAGAACACAAGAGATCGCAAGGACACGATCAGAAAGCAGCAGCGCAGAAAGCTCTACTCCATACTTGTACCGTTTGTAAAGTAAGTAGTCGAGCTTGACTTGTCTGTTTTTCTTTGTTAAAAATCAGTTAAATTTGATTCTTTATCTTAAATACAGGCCCAGATGCCCGATCCCAAAACCTACAAACAGCACTTCGAAAACAAACATCCCAAGAATGCCCTCCCCGAAGAGTTGAAAGACGTTTGATCGAACGACAACGAAAAGAACAGATTAGTGTGATTTATGAAATATGTACTTTATACACAGTAAGTAACACTATCTTTCGGGGGAAAACAAACTATTTCGAAAGTGGACATTCTAAATAGTGGATGTTTTCTCATCCCTTTTATCTCTTACTGATGTGGTTTGAAGGGGGAATGAAATTAAGGAAAGTGTTTTTTTCAATAAAAGTTTTTTGATCATCATTTTTTTTTTACTGGTGTTTTCTCGCATCCCCTTTAACGGTACGCGAATACATCAGCTGTAATTTTGTATCCTTTTATCTGTAGTAAACGTTATTTCAGTTAATAACCGAAAATCGGGTCGCCGTTCTATCTCCGAAGTAGGATGAGTCGAGTTC